GGAGGTATTAGGGGAAGTTCTATTACAGTGTAATGGGTTGCGTCTGGAGGGATGAGGGGACGTTCTATTACAGTGTAATGGGTTGCATCTGGAGGGATGGGAAGGACCACCTGATTGATAGCCCGGAGATCTTGGACTAGCCGATATGAGCCATTGGCCTCTGTGACGGGGGGTATGGAGAATGAGTTGGCCGAAGGTGGCCTTGTGAGAGGAGTCTGTTTATGATGGGGTTGTAAGCATTTAGGTTAATGATCTGAGAGACATGAGGAAATCTGGGGGATCTTTTAACTGGATTTTGATGGAATCATGGTGAGCTGCTAGAGAAAGGGTGGTGGTATCCCACACTATTGGATTAAGAAAAGAAGCAGGGAATGGATATTGGGGAGAGGGGTCAAGGGCTGGCATGGTGGCAGAGAGGAGTAGGAGAGAATCTGGTTGTGGGAAACAGAAAAAGGTGATGGAAGCTTTGAATTTGGTTAGGAGGTCTCTGCCTAGGATGGGGGTAGGGCAACGAGGCATGATAAGGAAAGAGTGTGAGAAACCAATATTAAATAGGAAACAAGAGGTCTAGTGGTGTGTGGAAGTGAGATGAATCCATCAACCCCCACAACTGAGACCTGAGAGGAATGAGTGGGTCCTGAGAATTCAGGCAAAGCCGAGTAGGTAGCCATGGTATTGATTAAAAAAGAGATTGGCTTACCTGCTACTAGTAGAGTTACCCTGGGCTCCGATGCAGTGATGGCAGATGGGGCCGGAGGCTCTGGGCCTCGTCAGTCTTCAGTGGCTAGGCCAAGGAGCTGCAGGAGTGCAAATGATTCTTCACTTTGTGTTGCGGAATGGATGGTGGCTCTGAGGTGCAGGCTTTTCTGTCTGTCTGTTGATAGGACAGTCAGACTTCCAGTGGCCTGTCTGCTGGCATACTGGGCATGGGCTTTTTGGCACTCGTGGATTAGGACATGCACGTGCCCAGTGGCCTCGTTTGCCACACTTAAAACAAGGCCCAGGAGGGCCACTGCTATCGGGTCTTTGTGCCCTTGGGTAGGTACCATGGCTAGGCTGATAGATAGCCACAGATAGAAGCTGGTATTTGCACATCTCTGGGCTTTTACTCTGCTCATCCCTTTTATTGACGACTTTGAAAGCCAGGTTAAGGAGGTCTCATTGTGGGGTTTGAGGGCCATCTTCAGTCTTTTTAAGTTTGTGCTGGTTGTCAAGGGCAGAATGGGAGATAAAATGGGTATTAAGAACAATAGTTCCTTCTCGGGAGCCAGGGTCGATGTGAGTATATTTTTGGAGAGCCTCTGTAAGGTGGGAAGGGAATTGGCCAGGGTTTTCATCTGCTTTTTGGGAAATTTCTTGGAGTTTTTCAAAATTTACAGCCTTATGGGCGGCTTTGTTAAGGCCTGCAATAAGGCAAGCAATCACATGGTTACAGAATGCCTGGCTGGGGTCTGTGGGTTGGTACTCCCAGGAAGGCTCTTCCTGGGGGATAGCAGTGGCTTTGACAGGCTTAGTAGGATCTTGCTGATGAAGATTGTCAGCATGTGCCTGGGCTGTGAGCCACACTCTTTCCTTCTCTTCCAGAAGGAGGGTAGAAGAGAGGATAATATAGAGATCATGCCAAGCGAGTTGCTAAGACTGGGTGAGATATTTAAATTCTTTGATATAAGTATTGGGATCAGAGGAGAAGGACCCAAGGCATTTTTCGATCTAGGAGAGCTTGGAGAGGGAGAAGGGGATGTGGACATGGACAATTCCTTCAGCCCCTGCCACTTCCGGGAGGGGAAGCAAGGGAGTTGATTGCTGGGCACGTTGGACTTGGGAATGGGTAAGGGCTGGAGACAGGAAGGACTCAGAGTTAGAAGCAGGATGGTTGTGGGGGAAAGGGGTAGGGCTGGAGTGGGGCATATGTTAGGGGATCCTGACGCTCCGGTGGGGGATCCTGACGCTCCGGTGGGGGATCCTGACGCGGTAGAGGAGGAGGAAAAAATTGGCGGGGTCAAAGAAAGAGGAGTTGTCAGCTGGGGCTGTGGCGAGTGTAGCAGAGATGAGTCCTCGGCAGGGCCGTAGGAAGAGTGACAGGAGCGAGGTTTGAAGAGTGACAGGTTTGGAGTGAACAAGGAAGATTTGGAAAGTAGAACAGGACTGGCAGAGGGAAAGATGGCTACAGAAGGTGAAGGAAGCCTGAACATAAGGAATCTCAGACCATTTCCCAATGTGATGGCAAAAGTTGTCTAAGTCTCTAAGTATATTGAAATCAAAAGTGCCATTTTTGGGCCATTGGGAGCCATTGTCTAATTTGTATTGAAGCCAAGCGGTATTACAGTAAAAGATAAGCCTCTTAGGGTGTAATTCTGAATGGAGGCCGAGAGTATTGAGATTACACAGGAGACACCCACTTTTGGAAGGGGTAGACTAACAGGCTCCTGAAGCAGATGGAGGAGGGAGGTAGAGGAAGAAGAGACTGCCAATTGACAAGCATGGCAGGAGACGGCCTCCTTTGTCCTGTGGGCCCTGCCCAGAACAGAGGAGGTAGCTGCCAAGTCAGGCATCCCTGAAATGGAGGGACCAGAGGCCTGGAGGCTGGAGGAAGCCCTTGGCC